GTAGTTCTAGTCGTCAGGGATAGGGTTTATCTACCTATTATGGTCCGGTGCCGTTTGACTCTTTCTTACGGCTGAGGTCGTCTTGGCTTTTTGGGCCCCGGGTACGTGGCCAAACAGAGACGAAGCATGGAGTAGAGTGCCTCGGAGATGTTTTCTCGATCGTCAGCTTGAGCATTTGGATACACCGGTGGGTACACGGTACACACAGCTCGTTAGATTTGGTCCCTGCAAGAAGAATTCAACTCATTTGGTATATCAACTGTCTACGGTGCGTGTCAGAAATGCAGTGCAGTGCAACCTTGGCGTGAGGGAAGTGTTCGTCGAAAACTCTGGGTGAGCTGATTCGTGTGTGCAAGTGCAACCACAATAGTACCTACTGGTACTAGTTCTAATCTTCTTGTAAAGTCGGCAGGTACTGTATTTCTGAATTGACTACAGCCCATTTCATGATTCCGTGATCTATCTTAAGACCATTTCGTATCACATGGGTATGATGGGTTTGTTAATCCTCCCTCTACAATATACAAATTGGTTCCTTTGCGGTTTGCCCCCACAGGGCTAAAGCGATTCCATGGGAAAGTCCCTTTAATTTTCCTTGACAGCAACATCTGGTGTTCACATAAATAGCATCTTTGGAGTACAACAAGAGAATACATTAGAAACGGCCGGGGTCCCTTTTATCTGTAAATAAAAAAAGGACGTACCTAGTACAGAGAGCTCTCACTCTGTGCGGAGCCTGGGGAAGAGTATCAGTGGCAAGCCTTACTCTCGCTTGTGCAATGCGAGGAGACTACGACTCGAATCCGGGACCTTCTGGTCACAGGCGGTAAGACTCTACCGCTTACACCAGGCCCGTCCTTCTTTTATCTGTAAATAAAAGCTTGAGAAAAAAAAGGAGCGCAACAAGGCCCAGGAATTGCGATTGTGGACCATGACCTTGTCCCCGTTAGTGGACAAGAACAAGATGGTTCCATTGATACTCTCTGCCCGTGCTAATGTTGCCCCTTTAATACAGGACAAGTTGTGAAGTTGATATCAGGACAGGTTAACAGACAACTACTAGTAGTATATGTAGAGTAGGGTTTATCCATTTCTCTTATTAGACTAGGAACTTGTAGTCCGGTATTGCCGGATTTTGAGGTATTCTTTCTTTCCAGAGAATACTAGTCCTCCTATTAGTGGACGAGAAATGCACATGGATGGATGGATCAAGTCCATTCTCAAGGAATTCCTTACTCTTTTCTTTTCCAAGGCATTTCAAGATCTCACCTTTTTTTTTCCTGGATGATGGAACTTTGAGAAAGGAATCAAGACCCGACGGGAGAGGAAAAGAATCGCAACAGAACATTGGGAAACGGGGACGACATCAGTTAGCGTTTCCCCTGGATCATCTGTAAACCTTTTTCAACAGCGACGCACTTCCTGTGATGTGAGTCCGTGACCACAAGCAATCTGCCTGCTGCTGCTCAATCACTGCCGGCATCTTGTGTTCGTCCTGCTGACCCGCTGGCACCTTTTCTGCGCTGCGCTGCTCTTGCTCATGTCTTCACTCTTCAGCGAGCGAAACTTTTTTGTGCAGTTGTGCCCTCGGAAAGGCACGTACGTACTCTTGCAACGAACGAAAACAAGACCCCCAAGCAGCAGCAGACCCCGCAGCACAACGGCAACAGCCGTGCGTGACGCCAACGGTAACAAGAGAGCACTGACACCGCATCAGCAGCAGACGGCCGTGTACGGTGGACTGGACGCAATAGTTTTCTCTTTTCTTTTGCTCTCTGAAGATACGGACGCAGTTGTTTTGTTTACAGCCGTACGGGCTAGTAATATAATAATAATAGCCATTTGGACTGATATTCCCTCGTCCTCTCCTGCCGATGCGGGCGTACTGGTTTTTAAAAATGCAGCGTTGACTCTAGAGAGAGGCGATGAGATGGACGAACATCAGTCTCTTCGCTCGGTCGTGTTTGACTTACAAGACATGGCTTATTAGCCAATGAATATGATTTTTCTCTCACACTAAATCAGCCAACAGTACTTTCAGTTATGGTTTATCAGCCAAACAAGCCCAAACGAATTACCCTGTTGAGTGCCTGAGAAGAGACACGACCGTTGAGTGCTCAGCCACCTTGATACAGAATGCCAGAGAGGAGATTCGGCTAGCCGCATGGCCATTTTGCACTGAATTACCCTGTTCCAAAGGCCCTGTTTGTTTTGCTGAAAAGCCAAGCTAGAAAGTATTGTTCACTGATTTGTTGTGAGAGAAAAACTGTTTCTTCGCTGAAAAAGTACGGCTGATAAAGATATTTCTATTCTTCTCTGCTACAAGTTGTAGTATGATATATTTTTCTGGAGATATATGGAGTTTTGAAACTGATATGCTAGTGCTCGTCTCTGAAATCTCATCAATCTGTTACAACCCGACGAGGATTGCAACGGATAACTAGACGGAATCGGAATTTAGGCTGGGTTGCAGCAAGAACAGAGGATTGGGGTAAGACGAATGGAAGGATTCAAAAGCAAGCAATTGGAAGGCAGATGTTCAGAGTTCAGGTTCTATTCCCACTTTGCCCAATCGATTACATGGGCTTATATACCCGCCCGGACACAGCTGGATATGCATGCTCCAACCGCCGTAATGGCCCAACGCCTAACGCTAAAGCCCATTAAAAAGGCAAGAGTCTAACCACCACAACTAACTGAATATACGCAGCCTCAGCCACTTGTCGTCCCGTTGCCGGACGTCCAACAGTACCGCAGCGCTTAAAGCGGTCCTGACACAATCGATTTCGATTGCACCGCTTTTGCCCATCCGAGATGGTGCGCCGTCTGATTCCGACCCTGATCTGGGAGCGGCTGTTTTGTCATCGTCCATGAAACGGACGCCATCAGCGATCACATCAGAGGACGCGACGCGATGCACAGACATCAGCAAAGGGACTGGCCGACTGGCCGTTAACCCAACCACCGTCCAAGAGGCAAGAGCCATCTCTTTTTTCTTTCCGTCTGCCTGCCCCCGCACTTGAGCAAAACTAATCCCTACCAACCAAGAAACAGCACAAAACGAAATGTTATTTAACATATTTTTAATAAAAAAAGAAAGAGTGCACTCTCTCTATTACCCTACCTTTTATGATCTCTCTTGTTTGTCGCCGTCCTTTACCAGCTCCTACTGAACACACTGGAATATTCAAGTCCAGGGTCGTAGCTGCCCCATTGCATTTCACCAAGAAAAATCGAAATAGAAATCAAAATGGCGACTGAAGAATCAGTTTCTTCTGTCTATGATTAACAGTTCATCCTTCCACCTAACGCGAAATGGGACGACGGAGTCTCGATCAATAGCAGCAGTTGGTAACCGTGGACGGGAAGCGTACACAAGCCAATAAGCTACGGAATCAAATAGCTGGAGGCATGTATTCGTGCTGCTAATCCCCTCTCTAATTGCTGCAAACACATGCAATCTAGCTCAGAATGATCTATGCAAACTCAGCATTCAGGGCATGTTTCATGATCTGTTGTTATCCATACCATACCTTAAACGAACGGGGAAGTCAATCGCAATGCCTACTGCCGGTAGCCGTTGGTAGGGCAGCGAATTGACAGGAATTGGAGTGAGAACTCCACATGTTTCCAGCATTAGCTAGCGAGACAGTCCAGATAAGGGCATCTCAACTGCCTTTCCAGCATTTTGACATCGCCTTCCATCTTCTTGAGGATCATCGAGCAATAATAGAGTGGATTTATGGATTATACAGTATGTATGCGCTCCAGAATAAATTTAGTCCGGCGTGTAGATGAAGCACAGAATGTTCTGTATAGATTAAGAAAGCTGACCCCAAATGATGTCGCAATTGCGGCATACTAAGAAAGCTTATCCTAATTCATTGTATTAAAGTACTAATTGCAAGTTGGCATTGTGCCGGTAATGTTCTAAGGACGAGCATGCAAGAAAGGAGCGTTCCACAAAGACTGCGGGTTACCACTCTTGGCAATACAATAGGAACAACAGCGCACATTGTTAAAAGTTACTAGTGACTTTCATTCAGATAACCTGAATTCAGCAATGCAAGTGTGGCGAAGGAGCAAAACGGCCAATTCGCAGTCCCCAAAATGTAGCAAAGGGCACAAAACTTCATGACTACTCACTGCTTGGTTCACCGTCTATAGGTGAAGCAAGAAGCAAACAAAAAAGCATTCTGAGCATAATCACAAAGTTCCCAGGGTCGAGAAACGGGTTTGAGGTGTTTTTTTAACGATATAGTGTCGAAAATGATCGCTCGAGGGTCACTGCCTTCCACCAATTGAATAAGGGTGATGCCTTTAGGATTTTCCAGGATTTATGTAGCTCATTTTAACCAAATATGGAGAGAGATTCAATCCGGATCATCACTACCAATACAGTATTTATTCGTCAGTCCTGCAATTCCTCATCAAGTGTTTTACCCGCAGGGGAAAAACAGTCCTTATTATATGCAAATCTTGTGTGATTTTCTCGTTTCCATTTGGCAAAAAGGCATGTTTTGAATTGCCGGGCTGCAATTCCGTTCAAGATTTTTCACAGTAGTCTCAAGACCACCTGATTGAAAATGTGATTGCTTCATCCCATTCATTTCATTGATTGAAACTGTGATTTCATCTCAGAACCTTTACAGACAACATTTGATTGAAAAATGTGACTGACTGCTTCATTCGGTTCATGATAGCACCAAAATGTAATGAAGCTGGCTGCTGGCGCTGCCCACTCCATTCTACAGTATATACTATTTTCACAAGGATACCAAGGCAGTAACGAAATCCGAGGACGAGGAGGCATCAGCGTTGGTTGTTGCGACATGCGATGCGAGGAGGAAGGAATTCCCCCGATCAGATTTAGGACCGAGCTGAGCTGAAGCGAGTGGAGCAATCTAGTTGCCGCTGTTGCTCACTGGCCAATGGCCATTGCCATCATGCCATGGAGGTGGTGGGGACAGGTCTTGCTGTTGCATCGGAGGCGGCGCAGACTAGAAGCCGTTCATCTCCAGCAGGTAGGTGCGGCGCTTGCTGAGCGCGGCCACGGCCTCCCTGAAGGGCCCGTCGAAGGCGCCGGCGACGAACTCGTCGAGCTCCTTCCTGCCGCCGCCCGGGGAGTCGCCGACGGGCTTGATGACCACGAGCGTGGCTCCGTGGATCCTGGTGCCGTCGGAGAGCTCGAGCAGCGGCGCGTAGCGGAGCTTCATGTTGCAGGCGGGCACCTGCGTGCGGTTGGCGGCCGCGGCCGCGGCCGCGGCGAGCGGCTTGTCCCTGAACTCCCTGAGCTGGTCGCGCCCCATGCTGAGCGTGCCCTGCCCGTTGGCGTCCGTGAGCGCGACCTGCTCCAGGGTGGGGTGCTCCTTGACGATCTCGCGGAGGAGGTAGTGCCTGGTGGCCGCGGCGATGAGGGAGCTGATGGTCCACACCACGCGCAGCTTGAGCCCGCCGTTGGTGTAGAAGGACTCCGGGATGCTGCCGCTGTGGTCAGGGGCCGCCCGCGGCGTCGCCAGCGTCGGCGCGGGGAGCGGAGGAGGCGTGGGGTCCCGCGCCCGCGGCAGCAGCAGCCCGGTCCACCTTGGTGCCGCCGAGGATGACGCAGCTCTGCAGCGTGCTGCCGAACACGGCCTTCCACTTGAGGACGACGCCGTCGTCGGTGCCGACGTCGGAGACGGGGAGCTCCATGCGGAGGTTGCGGATGCTGCTGAAGTTCTTGAGCACCTGCGCCGGCGAGTGGTGGTGGTGGTGCTGCCCCTCCTGACCGTGCTTGTGCGCGCCGCCGCCGCGGACTTGGCGTCGCAGTGCGCGAAGGGCTTGAGCACGGCCTGCAGCATGACCTTGAGGAGGTGCGAGAGCACGGCGCGCGGGCGCGGCCCGCCCAGCGCGTCGCCGCCGTCGGCGGGGATGACGCGGTCGATGCGCAGGCAGGCGTCGTCCACGAGCGGGACGAGCGCGTTGAAGCGGCGCGACACCGCGGAGCAGCGCCCGAGGGAGCGCGCGTCGGCGAGCTTGTTGAAGATGAGGAGCACCAGGGAGTCGGGCACCCGGTCGAAGTGGTCCTCGCCCTCCGCCGCGAGGAGCAGGTCCTCCGCGAAGATCCGGTGCTTGGACTGCATCCTGTCCGTCCTGTGGCTTGGATTGGATCGTTGCGGGGCAGCTCACACACAGCCCGCGGACGAGGAGGAGGGGCGGAGGAGTAGGTGAGGTAGGAAGAGGATGGTGGTGGCGAGTGAAGGCGCGGCGGAGGCGCTTATAAAGGCGGGGGAGGAGAGCGACCGTTTGTTGAAGTCCATCCATGGCTCGCTGTCGGGGTCGGGACGCCGGACGCCCCGCCCCTAATCATACCGTTACACGGATCAGCTACGTACTAATGTATTTTCTACCGTTCCCTGCTGCCTCTCTGGGCGACTGGGCCTGCTGGTCCTAGTAGGAGATTAGTTTAATCTTCCATTCGTCCTCGTCTCGCCCGATCCTATGCCTGCAGAATCTGTGCAACGGTACTCTCAGTCAGTAGTCAGCAGCCGCCGGCAGTAATTAGCAGTAAGTACCTTGTCATTCGTTCGCGAAAAAACTATGACCAACGTAACAAGAGAAACGATAGAAAAAACGAGCCGAAACACTGTTCTGACTGATTTGTTGTGAGAGAAAAATACTGTTCTGGCTGAAAAAACGAGCTAAAAAGTATGGATTATAAGAAACAAACATGGCCAATAAGAGAAATAAAATGACGTCATTGTTGGCCCGGTCCAAAACCTTGGCCTAGCTTTGGGTTGAAAACCACCACTAGCTCCATCGCTCACCAAGAACACACCTATCCCGCCAACACAGCACACGACATGCCACAACACCGCCATTGTCACAATAAAAAGACAACAACTACCCCATCAATAACGCCTTGCAACCTAGCTTGATGCCACCGCACCTCTGCAAGTGGCCACCTCCACCCTGCCGCCAAGCCACTACACGCAACCTCCTCCAATGCAGTGGTGCTATGACCTCCGCCATGCCACCGCGCCATTGTGCATGGCCTCCTTCGATGCCACCGCACCTCTTTAAGTTTGGCACATCACTGCATTCGCTGTTATTGCCACAGTTGTTAGTGCAACCACTAGCAGCGACTATTGCCATGGCCATGCACTGCTAGATCTATGCCGACCGCGCCCACATGGATGGATCCGAGCATCACTGGTGTAACAGAACCGACCAATTATACGAAATTAAGTGAGAAAATCATCCGCCAGGGCAGACGATTTAGCAAACTTAAGCCCGTATAACCCGGTAGTCCGTGAAATCACGAAGGATTTCAAACCAACTTCCATTCCAGCCAAGATCGTAATAAGTTTAGCGGTCACCATCACATATTACATAAAAGTTCTCAATCTCAGATACATCAGAGTTTAAACATAGTTATTACAAAACCAGTTCGAATAAAAGTAGCGGAAGCCATTTGTTCAAACCACACACACTCACGCGGAGTTCAAATATAGTGCCAGCGAATGATCATCTCCAACAAAAGCATTAGACGAGACGTAAGGAATGACCATGCCCATGGTCCTAAGCATCACCCATCGCAGGATAAAGGCAGTTGATACAATAGCCGTAATACATCTGCCCATCTGCAACAAGTGGGAATAAAACCCTGAGTACGAGAAGGTACTCAGCTAGACTTACCCGACATAACCGAAAATAAATGACACCAAGGATTATGAAGGCTTTATAGTAGGGTAGCTGACTCAATTGCAAAAGAAGCATTTTTAGCATTTCAATAACTTTTCTAAAAGCGTTATTGTCAACTTAATTATTATTAACCTATCGACTAGATTTGCACTTATACTAGAGTAAACATGTGATTAAACAATTAATGATAACCACTGATCATTAAACAACTTTCATACTGTTATATTCACTATAACTGTCCAAGTGTTCCATAAACCTTTACTACGATGAAGTAACTCAAGTCAAGTGCTCACTATCCAGGAGCGATGGCGATTCGAATCGAGATTCCTAACCAGCTGGTGATTTATTCCTTACACAAATCTCACTCACCCGCTAAAGTGAGATATTGATCACCGAGTCAACTTTTCAGGTATCTCGAGTTTGCCAGGAACCACATGTACCCGGGGGCCGACCGACTGCACTTTGGTCTTATCATCCCGCCTCTGTGTCCTACCACACCTGCTTCGGCACAGTGCGCTGCGGGCAATCTACTCGGCCCCAAAAATCTCCCAGCTTTGCGGTCGGAAGGTACTTTATCCGGCCAGCTAAATGTAAGGCATGCGTTCAACATGACTCGAGGCCCAACAACGGTCGGTCCTTAATCGACACAGACGGAAACACTATAGTCCAAAACTCTGCAAGTCTCCGCCCGGTCTCAACTTCATTTAACACTTAGTTATACCATGACTTCATAGCCATCCAAGCAGATCCAGGTAACCACCTATAGCTTGCAGGTGACAGGAAATCACCCGACTTCTACCGGTCTAAGCCAGCTAAGCATTGACTCGACTGCGGATACCAGGGTAACAAGGATATAGTATAACAAAGGTAAACAAGGTATAATGCAGCAACGGTTGCAAACAACTCCTGAACGTAATGCATCAATTTAAAGTAAAGCATTTAATGAAATCATTGCAAACCGGGAGAAAAGATGTGATGAGTACAGGCCCGATCTTCCGAGAGGTAGCCGGTAAGTTCGATTTGTGGAGATCTCGACGTTGGCGATCCGGCTTCAAATCAGACACGATTCGAACCCTGCAACCGTTACACCACCGCTCCGTTGGTTATCAACCAAGCACAACTTGATTGACCTCGCCAAGAAGGCTTTTCCTGCAAGCGAATCGAAGAGCACAAGCAAGAAGGTAAAACACGCAATCTGAAATTGCAAATATGAATGACGCGAATATCAATAGAGGGTTCAAGAACTCGGTTCCAAAGGACTAATCGACACAGTGGAGGAGATCAAGAACGGGGGCCCTGGATCACTGTAAAAGGATTTGTCACCACAGTTACAATGAACGATTCAGTTTCTCGATGGAAAACTAAACTCTAAACAAAACCCAATTGTGTAGCAGCGGTGGCGGCTGTGTTTATAGTCTAAGACTCGACCTAGGGTTGGGGACGGCCAGGGGTTGGGTGCCCATAACTTGGGCTTAAGGCCCGACACGATACATGGCCAAGTTGGCCCAAATAGGTGACGCAGCACCTTGCTGTGGTCACACAGAATGATCCACGGACCTTCTGGAGCTGGGACCAGATCCAAAATGACGGCGTCGTCGTCCCCTTTCCAACGCATCCAAGAACGGCCCGTTTCGACGTCGTATGAGGAAGTTATGACCGAAATAGTGACGACGTGTCTGCTGAATCCGAGGGTGACGTGGCAGCTGAGTTGGAAACGAATTGCAACTTGGGGAAGACCATGGCGTTGGTGTGTCCAGCGTGACGATGTCCTCATCAAGATGCTCCGGGGCTTGCCTCTCTCGAAGGAGCTCGGGCGATGATCGGGGCACTCCGGAAGTTCCTCAACGTCCTCCTCGTCGGCTTCTGGCACTTCCTGCGGCTGCACCTCGAACTGCTCCTCGGGCTCCTCGGGAATGACGACTGGGTTCTCGGTTTGCGATCCTGTATGATGCAATGCGTGTAAGTGTCTATGCAATCGGTGCATCGGATGAGATGAATACAATGGATATGTTCGAATGCAAGGTAGTCAACATCATCCAAGAAAATATACTACAAGCACATATCATCTACTGTATTCTCTTCTACTACTAATGTGTTTAAGTCAACACCCTTATCAAATGCTTCAAAGATACACCAAAGCTATTATTATTAACTAATCTTGTATTAAAGAGGATTATTATATTTCCTTTTAAAACTAGGGCTACAACAGCAATCTATATTTCTGGTGCTTATAAAAATCTAAGAAAATTACAGTAGCATAGTACTACTCTAAGTAGACTACCATAAAATTTTCATGGCATTTGGATCGGTAACATAGGCTACACAAAAATAACAAGCTATGGCATGATCATGAACATGAAAATACTTTGTACTATGAAAAGTGTCAAACAACAAAATTAGAATTTTTCCTATGTTCTACATAACATACAATGATTGTACAAAATTTATCACATGCATGTTGTATACAAAGTTTGCTTTCTAACAAAATAACAAAAATTAGCCATTAAAGGTACTTGAACTACACCTCAAAATTTTCCCACAGCACATGCATGAAACATATTTTTCCTAGGAAGTAAATGACATAAGAAGATTAACAAACTTGGAATCATATTTTTCTGAACCCTATAGATTTTTCTACAAATTTTTCAAGTTATCAGCAATATTCATGATTAAATAAAATTCTACAGAAAAGTATTTCAAAAATGACATGCAATAATTTTCCCTAGTAGATCTGATGATAAGGAACCTAGGAAAATTTGTTCCAACCAATTTGGAGCTAAAAGGAGTACACAACCATTTTCTAAAGCATTTAAATAGAATTCTGAAAAATCATTTTTGAAATCCTTTTATACTTCATGCTCAAAACTGCTAGATACACCCGGTTATCCACCCACAACCCGCGCCAGAGAGACAGACAGGCGGGACCCAGCTGGTCACCCGGCCCCATCTGGTCACCGAATAGGAGGCGGGGATGGCCTTGCCGTGGGATTTTTTCCCGTGGTGAGGTCGCCGGCGGTGTGGTTGCTACCTATGGACTCCACAAGGGGAGGCCTTTTCTGCTGGTGCTACTTTATGCGCGAGAGGACCCCAGGCGAGGTGGTGACGACGGTCATGGCGCTTGTGATGGCTGCCTGAGGTGGCGGTCGCGGGCTGTTCGGCGTAAGGTGGCCGGTGGGCGACTTCGGCTCATGACCGAAGCCGCCATTATGAAGCGAAGCACGCAGTCGGTGCGCACGAAAATAGGAAGAGAGGAAGGCGGGGCAGGCTGGCCATGGGCGTCTGTGGCCGCCGAGCTCCGGTGAGTGTGGCGTGAAGGAAAACTCAAAGCGAGGCCTCACCTCCGGTCGATTCATGAGGCGAGCGGGGTCAACAATGTGCATGTGAGATGGCGATGCTTGTGGCGCGAGAAGGCGGGAATGGTGCGGTGTCATTGGGGTGG